CCAGGAGAGAGTGGAGGACAGGGAAGCCAGGTGGGCTGCAATCCAGAGGGTTGCAAAGAGTTGGACATGACCTAGAGACGGAACAACAGCAACTGTAAGATTAAAAATATTTTCTTTATTTTTTGTTTGTTTATGTATTATTTGTGTGAAATGTATAATAAACCTATTACAGTATAGTCCTATATAGACGATGGTGTTAGTTGGGTACCTAAGCTAACTTTGCTGGACTTAAGAACACACTTTCAGAGGCAGAATTCATTCATATATGAGGAATTTATTATAAATTGACAGGAAAATCAACAAGACTGATGAAAAGATGCTGGAAGAAGCAAGGTAAAATCAAGACACCAACTCCACTCCTGCCTTTACCAGATGGTGAATCTGAACTCAGCCTATCTAGAAAGAACACATACTGCCTATACCTGATGGTGAATCTGAACTCAGCCTATCTAGAAAGAACACATCCTGCCTATACCAGATGGTGAATCTGAACTCAGTCTATCTAGAAAGAACACATCCTGCCTATACCTGATGGTGAATCTGAACTCAGCCTGTCTAGAAAGAACACATCCTGCCTATACCCGATGGTAAATCTGAACTCAGCCTATCTAGAAAGAATACATCCTGCCTATACCCGATGGTGAATCTGAACTCAACCTATCTAGAAAGAACACATCCTACCTATACCAGATGGTGAATCTAAACTCAGCCTATCTAGAAAGAACACACACACTGAGGGGGATCTAACCTTCTTCTAGAACAGGGGTACAAAGGAAAGCAGGCACTGCCTGCTCATGACTTACGCATCGCCCTTGCCAAGCCCAAGAGAGGCTCAAGAACAGTGACTTCTATTATGGACTTACAGTGAAGCTTCCCAGGGAAACATTAAACACGGGTTAGATTCCAACCAGACTTTTACTCCTGCATGTGCTAGAGGCAGAAAGCCAGCCTAGATGGCGTGGAGGACATTGTTTCAGTCCCACAGTTCCAGCCCCTGGTTCCTATGCGTTACATCAGGTGACTCCCATCAGAGCTCAACTCAGAAGGGCCTTAGCTGTACACCAGGGAACAGGAAGATGTCAAACATTCGTGCGTAAATCTGTTTATAAGGGCTAGACCCCAGAAGACTTACCTGGACCCAGAGCTGGGTTAAAAGCAGCGTCAATTAACTGAGTCCTAACAATCTTCCAAGGACTTCCCTGGTGGTTCAGTGGTAAAGAATACATCTGCAATGCAGGAGATGTGGGTTGGATCCTTGGGTCGAGAAGCTCCCCTGGAGAAGGAAATGGCAACCCACTCCAGCATTCTTGCCTGGAGAATCCCATGGACAGAGGAGCGTGATGGGCTACCGTCCATGGGGTCACAAAGGTCAGATACAACTCAGTGACTAAACCACCACCACCCATAATCTTCCAGACACTGTACCAGAGTTCAGAAGCTGATTTCCAAGCGAAAAGCACTTGTTTGTCTTCCCTTTGGAAAGCACATGCAATGGTTCAGTTCTGCTGGAGACAAAGTAAAGCCCATGAGAGCCCGGTCCAGGCTGTGACTTCAACATCGTGTCTCTGTGTCTCACATACACCACCCCCTCCCCAATCTCCCTTCATCCTGCCATATCCTCCAAGAGGAAAAAAAGAACTGGCTAAATTACAATGTGTTCTGGAAATCAACTCTTTTGTGACTCCCTATAAAGAGAACAAAGTGGGCTTTCATCAAGCTTAAATAAACCATTAAATAAAATCTTAAAACCTTAAGAGACACTCTGCCTCTTCTATGTTGAAAAAGTTTGTAATAAAGCCACACTGTGGTGGGCGGTGGGAGGGAGATTCAAGAGCGAGGGGACATGCATATACCTATGGCTGATTCATGCTGATATATGGCAGAATTCAACACAATATTGTAAGGTAATTATCCTCCAATCAAAATAAATTTAAGAAATAAAATGAAAGCACTTTTAAAAAGCCACACTGTGCTTCTCTTTCACACCCTGAAGGTTTATAGTACCAGTTATAGCACAAGATATGTTTTAGGTCTTGAGGGCATATTGGGTGGATGAATTTGTGATCTGGATAATGAGAAAGGAAAAGCCCTTGTCCGACTACATTGACCCTACTCCACCAAGCTTCCTTAAATTAACCATGTTCTGCCATCTACAGAAAATATCACAGAAAGCTAAAAAATCTGCTTATCACCCTAGCTAAAGAGGAGAAAGACAGCATGAGTAAAAATGCCCTTTCTGCTTCCTGAATGATAGTCGGACAGAGCTGTCCCAAGTTCCAAAAAAACAATTTGAAGTAAGATGCATGCACAGTCCAGGTGTGGGTGTCCAATTGGAAATGGCGCTTTTTAAAAACTATGAAAATAGGTCTGCACCAAGAGGGGGATTTAAAGCATCCATGCACCTCTACCTGCTTCAATATTAAAATATTTTAAAAGGGATACAAATTCGCTTGCACCTACAGAATGGGAGAGAAAATGAGAAATTGGAAAGATGAGAAGCAGATGGGTGAATGGGAACTGACTTGGCTAAGCTGTAGGCTGGCAGCAGGAAAGGTGGCTCCAGGTGCCTATAAACCGGGGTATGAAGATGAGGCTAAAAACAGGAAAATTGGTTAAAAGACCATAAAGCAGTGATTGGGCCTCCTGAGTGGCTCAGATAGTAAAGAATCAGCCTGCTTTGCAGGAGACCCAGGTTTGATCCCTGGGCTGGGAAGGTGCCCTGCAGAAAGGAATGACTATGCACTCTAGTATTCTTGCCTGGAGAATTCCATGGACAGAGAAGCCTGATGGGCTACAGTGCATGGGGTTGCAAAGATGGAGATGAGGCTAAAAACAGGAAAGTTGGTTAAAAGACCCTAAAGAAACAATTAGAGCCTCTAATTCCCGCTCCCCTCTAAGAAACTGGATGATGGCTCCATGCACACCTAAACTTAAAGCAGATGAAACCAAAGAACAGGCATCGGACAGAGGGACTGAGTGAGCCTGTGCACACTCAGTACTGAGACTCCCCGCCCACTGTTCCAGCTTCCTTCCAGAGATGGGCTACTATGCCTCACTCCCCAGGGAAGAGGGTAGAAGAGACTTCTTCTGGAGTATGACCAACTCGAGAGAGAAACACATAAAGATACTGACGTTAGAGATCAGTCAGATCTCTGTACACTGATGCTCACAAGCCAAAAGCCTGTGGCACAGGGAACTCTGCTCAATGTTATGTGGCAGCCTGGATAGGAGGGGAGTTTGGGGGAGAGTGGATCCATGTACACGTGTGGCTGAGTCCCTTCACTGTTCACCTGAAACTATCACAACATTGTCAGTCAATTGGTTATACCCCAATACAAAATAAAAAAAGTTTAAAGTTTGAAAAAAAACACAAAAGCCTGTGGCAAAGACAGCAGTGAGCATTCCATTGGTCATCCCAATGGTCAGTGAGCCCTCCGTCTGCCATCCATGCTTTCCAACCCACTTGCATTCAGCAGTAACTGTAACTAGATCTGACCAGCTGACTATAGGCAGACATGGCATGGTACTTCTGGAATGAAACACAAGAGCCAGCACGCAACCATCTGGCTGTCTATTTCCCTATGAGGTGCACAAACAGGCCACAGGATCCAGATGAAACATCTCAAGGATGAGGCACCCTCCATCAGCCTGGTTCGCTGAGCGTGGAATAGCGTCCATAGCAAACTTCACTGCTTGTGTTATGTGCGAAATTAACCTTTATTGTGTGAAGCCACTGGAGGCTGTTTCAAAACACAAGTCTAGTCTCTCCTGACTAACACAAAGCCATGCGCACACACGCAGGGTTTTCAAACACCATTTAGGTGTACAATGGCAAAAGGCAAGCACTCAAAGATGCTCAGGTATCTGGTCCATCACCCTTCCAATTGTATCTCTTGTCAAAGTCCCTCTCAGGGAATCTCTAGATAAATCTTTTTTGACTCCTGAGAAATATACCATGCCATCACCTAGCATCCCTGGTTCTCCCAACCTGGTGCCTTTATTTCTAACTCAGATATATATCAGGTCACAGTCAACTGTGTTCCCCAATTTCAGGGAATAATAGCTTTCCAGGTAGTGCTCCAGATGGCCTTGCTCCCCTACAGTGTGGATTGGGGTACAGAGTGGGTTGCATCACATACCAACAATTCTCCCCACAAATACCTTCTCTTTCCAATTTTCAGTTTCAATTACTTTATACCTGTGAGATGGGTGATGGATGAAGGGTCAAGACACTGGTTTTCAGGTCACTGTCTTTGTAAACCCTGTTTAGATGTCTAGATCCTAGCTTTGGAATATGAAGGTGCATATCTGCTTTTGTTTTGTTCTTGGCTTCTGGCATCTCAGCTAAAAGAAAGAAATTCAATGTGCTGTTACAGGTAATGGTTCAGGCAGCTTACTTGAAAGCCCATGCTACAGGGTCAGATAATGTCAGAGACCTAAGTTTGTACTTAGATCTCTGTCTCCAAGGAACCAGAAAATAGACATATGGTAACTCGAGAGCCATGATTACAGCTGATTGAAAGTTGAAGAACTGTAAGAAGATGTGGGCCATATTTTAGCAATCTGAAACAAGATGAAATTCCATTATCTGCCTCTTGCTTCTGGTTTACAATCTCATTAAAATCAGAATTCCAGATTAGCTGCATCTGTGTTACCATGACATCAAACGGTTTGTTGTTAGAACCGTTCCCTAGCCAGGAAGTTAAACCTCATAGCAATGGGCCAATGGAAATAGAGTTTGTACAGAAGCTCTCCTGGGGTTAGAGAATGATTTGGAAACTGAAGTGTCCTTTTTCTTTGACTGGGAGGTTTCCCAATGATGCCCAGGCTTCTGAAGGTCAATTGTTGAACAAACCGAATCATAGTTACCAAGTGTTATTGCCGGAAGGGACCTTGGAGACATTTGAAACTGGATCAAGTAAGTTAAACACACTCAGCCTTAGGTCCCAGGCTCATGGCAAACGATTAATTTATCTCACCACGTGACCGCATCCACAAAACCCAGCCTCAATCAGTACCCATCAGTGTAAGATGACACCAAAGTTGAAATTGATTGGCCAGTTCTACCTGATTCCCTGGTTGTACAGGTGAGGAACATTGTCCTATTACTTATTCAAGGTCAAAAGTAGAGAAATGACGAGACCTCTGTTCCATGTTCTTTCAATCACCTCACCCTGAATAAATGGGAAAACGAGCATTTCTCTCTTACATACCTGTGGTCCACTCTTCCCATCAATCCCTCCAAACACTTAAGGCTTTACTCTAGTTGTAGATGTGACTCAGATGTCATACTTACCAGTCTCTTCTAAGCCACAGTACTTCTGCTTTTCCATTCTGGGACTACTCACACCCTCCGTAAGAAGCATCAAAATAAGATCTAATACTTTTGAATGGGCCAGAACCACTAAATTCATTATTTCTAGAGCCTCCTGACCTTAACAGAAAGTCAATGTTATGCTTTTAAGTTAAAAGGCCTAACTTATTCCTGGAAAAGTAAAAATGGAATACTTCCAAGTGCCATATTATGGATGCACTAAGATCTTGGAGCTGATTGCATTTGAGCTCTTCAGTCTAGAAAGGACCAAAGAAAACAAAAATCAACTCTTTGGACTCTTAGCACCTTTCTGAATCTTTTCCAGATGAACTTGCCTACCTCGGTCCAGAATAGAAAGCAGTTGTAGGTTAGAGGTGAACCTGAAATGCAGACATAGACAAATAGTTCATTCTATTCTTGGATTGCATATTACTGCTCCATATGGGGGTGGGGTGGGGGTGAGCCAAAACATATGGTACTCCATCTGTAAGATGGAGCTGGCTGGGTCCCGCGAATGGCTTTTAATGCAAGTAGATTCAGCCTGATTTGGTCTGCCTCCAAAGGAGGCGGAAATGCCAGTGATTCAAATATTGTGTAAAACCATTGAAATTAATGGCACAAAACAAGACTCATTTGTATTCCCCCTAATTTAAAAGATGTCTGCCTGGTGTAAAGTAATGAATTAGTTATGGGGGTGTTTGGACTGAGTGTTCAACACCCTCTTGGAAGGAACAAAATGCCTTTCTTTTTCCTTCTTTCAGGCCATTCTCTGTTATTTTGTACCATTTCCCCTCAGGAAATCCACTAAGCATTTTGGCTTCTGACATAGGCTGAATTTCATGAAGTTCACAGCACTGGACACAGATGATTCTAGTTTAACTATCCAAGGCCAAGTTGGGAGGGAGAATTCAAGAAGATGCTCTTTCAAAAGCTGCCTCATGGAGCCATATTGTTCATGCTTTTCCAGGAAATCTCCAACAACTACTCATCATTAGCATACCCAGTGAGTATGAGATTGTGCCCTTTCTGAATGCACCAGGAGAGAACTTGAAGCTCATCCTTGGATGACCACACCGGGCTTCCATGCCACACGCTCCTTGGGAATGTCTCCAAAGGCTCATGTGCAGCCCCAGCCCCATTCAATCAATAAACTAGCCATCCACGGGACTAATGCACGCTGAGATTCTGCTCTATGCCAGGCATCATGCTATGCATTACATGTGAAATATACGATTCCATTCTTACAATAATATCATAAGATAGGCTCTGTCCTCCACACTTTTCAGATGAAGAGGCTAAAGTTTAAAAAGTTGTCAAAGAGACAGTGACTGGCAGACCAAGAACCCCAGTGTTTCTGCCCCAAATGCCATGCTGAGATTGAACAGGAAAATGTGGTGCAGCTACCCCTGTGGGCACCCACCCAAGCTGATGTGTCTCTCCATGGGACAGCCCCACCCCATTGCTGTTGTTCAGTCTCTCAGTCGTGTCCAACTCTTTGCAACCCCATGGACTGCAGAATACAAGGCTTTCCTGTGCTTCATTGTCTCCCAGAGTTTGCTCAAACTCTTGTCCACTGAGTCAGTGAAGCCATCCAACCTTCCCATCCTTGGTTGCCCCTTCTCCTCTTGCCCTCAATCTTTCCCAGCACAGGGTCTTTGCCAGTGAGTTGGCTCTTTGCATCAGGTGACCAAAGTACTGGAGCTTCAGCATCAGTCCTTCCAGTGAATATTCAGGGTTGATTTCCTTTAGGATTGACTGGCTTGATCTTCTTGCAGTCCAAGGGACTCTCAAGAGTCTTCTCCAGCTCCACAGTTCAAAAGCATCAATTTTTTGCCACCCTGCCTGCTTTATAGTCCAACTCTCACGTCTATACATGACTACTGGAAAAATCATTGTCTTGACTATACAGATCTTTGTCAGCAAAGTGATGTCTCTGCTTTTTAATACAAAGTGTAGGTTTGTCATAGCTTTCCTTCCAAGGAGCAAGCATCTTTTCATTTCATGGCTGCAGTCACCACCCACAGTGATTTTGGAGCCCAAGAAAAGAAAATCTGTCACTGCTTCCACTTTTTCCCCATCTATTTGCCTTAAAGTGATGGGACTGGATGCCATGATCTTAGCTTTTTGGATGTTGAGTTCCAAGCCAGCTTTTTCACTCCTCTTTCACCCTCAAGAGTCTCTCTAGTTCCTCTTCACTTTCTGCCATTAGGGTAGTGTCATCTGCATATCTGAGGTTGTTGATATTTCTCCTGGCAGTCTTGATTCCAGCTTGTGCTTCTTCCAGCCCAGCATTTCACATGATGTACACTGCATGTAAGTTAAATAAGCAGGGTGACAATATACAGCCTTGTACTCCTTTCCCAATTTTGAACCAGTGAGTTGTTCTACTTAATTTAAAGAACTAGTTAACTCAAACTAGGAATGACAAGAAAAGCAAGCAGTCTCTAATCATGACCTTCAGTCAAAGCAGGGCAGGGAAAAGGCCTGCACAAAATCTCCATGGCACCATTCCCACCTGGATGGGACTGGTTTCCTCAATACTGTATTAATTCAGATCAAGACCCCCTGATCAAGGCTTCACCAGAAACCCCACACAGCCCATCTTTCTCTTTGAAGGGAAGACTCTGTGATTTGTGGTCCATTCTTGACTGTCTTAGTCAAGTAGTTTTCACATCTATTTTGGTAACATAGACCTTACCTCCCTCAAATGAAATTGACAAATGGAAACCCTTCATCTTAAGAGGAAATAGATGGCTCTTAGCTTTCTTCTCCTCCAAAGGACAAACTCTGAAGATTCTAAGAAATTTCCAAACATCACCATTGGAAACCTAAAGTTTTAGACCCATTTTCCATCTCCTAACTGAAAGGATCCTGGTAGACCCAGAGTCATGGACATAGGTTCCTTGCTAAGAAGCAAAGCTCTTGTGGAAAGCTACCAGACTTAGTGTTAACAAGAGCCATTTTTATAATTGCACCCATTAAGCTAACTATACCACTTAGGTGATCACAGAAGGTGGAGTTCAAGGGAGCCCAAGCCTGAATCATTTCTGGGAGACAGTGTTAATAGAACCCTTTGGTCAGAAGCAGCCTTTCTTCTGCAGGAGGTCCAGGGCACCTGCCTTGGATGTTACTTGGTTTGAAGGAGGTCATTGCATCTGTTTATTTTGTATTAAATATCTTCTGGAGATTTCAAGATGGGAATGAAAGGTATAAAGAAAATGGTTTTAGATTCTTAGCACCCATTCTAAAAACAATTATCCTAAAAATTAAATATAGATTTCTTGAAAAGGTAGATGAGGGATTTCATTTGATGGAAAATCATAGAGTTTCTTTTCTTTCTTTCTTTCTTTCTTTCTTCTTTTTTCTTTCTTTCATTTATTTATTTATTATTATTATTATTATTATTATTAATTATTATTTTGGTGGTCCCTTCTCTTCTGTCTTCATTTCGACACCCAGCATGAGGCTTAGCACAATTTATTTCAGGTTCCCTCTCACAGAGCACACCCACCAGAGTTCTTCTTGGAGAATCTATTTGTCTGTGGCTGGCCCAGCAAGTGCCAGTGTTCGCGAGTTCCATGGGCACGGTTATAGAGGTTTACAAGTGGTGTGAGGACATGCTGAGCTGAGCTGAGCTGGAGCTTGGTCCCAGGGAGAGAGCCTGGCTGCCCAGGCTCAGGGCCATCTCCCGCTTCTAAAAGAAAATGCCCTCCTGGGCCCAGGTCCTGGAAAACTGATGCCATGCTGAGTCATTGGCCCCCTGCCACTGCACCCCCCACCACGCGTCTCCTCCTCAGCCCTCGTCTGCTCCTGCGCATACAAGCCCGTGTGCCCTACTCTCCTGTTCAGGACCACCCTCCCTCCTCCATCACTGAATCTGTAAATAAGGCCGGAGTTCTGCCGCCTGAAGAAAGGGCCAGTTCGCGAGTTCCATGGGCACGGTTATAGAGGTTTACAAGTGGTGTGAGGACATGCTGAGCTGAGCTGAGCTGGAGCTTGGTCCCAGGGAGAGAGTCTGGCTGCCCAGGCTCAGGGCCATCTCCCGCTTCTAAAAGAAAATGCCCTCCTGGGCCCAGGTCCTGGAAAACTGATGCCATGCTGAGTCACTGGCCCCCTGCCACTGCACCCCACACTACGCGTCTCCTCCTCAGCCCTCGTCTGCTCCTGCGCATACAAGCCCGTGTGACCTACTCTCCCGTTCAGGACCACCCTCCCTCCTTCTCCATCACTGAATCTGTAAATAAGGCCGGAGTTCTGCCGCCTGAAGAAAGGGCATTTCAATCTTGAAACACATGTTGCTGACATGAATCGCCGTCTTCCACTGGGTGCACAGGTAATAAAACTTGCCTCATCTTTCTGTAACTCGTTTATTTCTATTCTGAGCTATCACTCCACGAGGCTGGGAGAAACTCTAACTCAGTCAATCCACTTCCCTGTGACTGTGCCTAAATCCTAGGGACTTACCCGGTGCACAACTTGGGGGCAGGGGTGCCAGCTGGTCCTTGATGTCAACTGCCAACTTGGGTATCCGCCAGCACCGCCTTCATTTCTCTCCTCCACGCGCTCAGGCCAGCTCTCCACTGCACCTCTGCCTGTGGAGGGTCCAGGAACGACTCTGCTCTTCTGGGCTTTGGGATGGGGCTGGGAGGGCTGCGGGTGGTCACCCTGCTTCCAGGTTCTACCCTTGATGTCTCCATAAACACACTCACTCACCTCCCCTGAAGCTCAGTCAATTGTGGATGCCGCTGGGTTTGTTCAGTTTGACATAACTTGTTGCCGCTGTGACTGCCAGATAATCACAGTGGAGTAGAGAGGCAAAGACAGGAATTATCAAGGGACAAGAACAGTCAATGCTTTTAAAAATATGACACCACCTTCCAGGTGACCTCACAGCAGCAGCCCTCATGTGTTCTGTTTGCCACCCTTTTTATTTTTCTTTAATTTTTTAATTGGAGGATAACTGCTTTCCAATGTTGAGTTGGTTTCTGCCACACGACTACACGAATCAGTCATATATATATATATACACACACACACACACACACCTCTCTCTTAAGCCTCCCTCCTCCCCCATCCCACCCATCTGGGTTATCGCACAGAACAGGTTACCCTCCCTGTGTTATTCAGCAGCTTCCCACCGGCTGTCTATTTCACACGTGGCAGTGTGTATATGTCAATGCTATTTTTTCAATTTGTCCCACCCTCTCCTTCCCCCGCTATGTCCACAAGTCCATTCTCTGTGTCTGCATCTCTATTCCTTTCCTGCAAATAGGTTCATCAATGCAATTTTTCTAGATTCAGTATATATGCATTAATGTACCCACTCACGCTAAGTCTCTCAGTTGTGTCCAACTCTTTGTGACCCCATGGACTGTAGCCCCCCAGGTTCCTCTATCCATGGGATTCTCCAGGCAAGGATACTGGAGTGGGTTGTCATTTCCTCCTCCAGGGGATCTTCCCAACCCAAGGGTTGAAACCACACCTCTTATGTCTCCTGCATTGGCAGGTGGGTTCTTTACCCTTAGTACCTCCTGGAAAGCCCATATGCATTTATATACAGTATTTATTTTTCTCTTTCTGACTTCACTCTGTATGACAGACTCCAAGTTCACCCACCTCAGTTCAACTAATTCACTGCCTCCCTTTTTAGAAGGTGATATAAGAGAGGAGCAGCCTGTGGTCATGGTGGGGACAAACCAGGACCCCCTCTCTGGAAGATAGGGTGTGAGCTGGAAAGGACAGCAGGGTATTTTAGGAAAGAACATCCCCCCATGCAGACGGGCTGGCCCTCCCCAGAACTCCTGGGTGTTTGTGTGGTGAGCTCGTATGGCACTTGGATCTCCTTGTATCTGACGCCTTCCTTCCACCAACACAACACACACCACATGATCAGGACAAGCATCCCAAGGCTCCTGGGGTCCTTCCAGCAATTCAGGGAGTAGGGCTTGTGGCTGCTACTGCAATAAGCCTTTCCTCCTTTAGCCTTCCCCTCACAGATATGAGTCTTCCAAACCCAAACAGGGCTGCTCTTCCTGCCGGGGGAGACAGGGGTGATTCTGTGGCCAGAATCCTTGAGATGGTGAGCTCTGGAGTCAGGAGACTTAGGTTCAAAATTCTTGCCATGACTCAACCTAGCAGTGTGATCAGGTCTCATAGAAGCTCCCCTT